GACAGGCCACAATAAAGGTTGAATATTGCAGTTTTGTCAGCTTAACCTATCGTTAATTGATGTGTTGTACTCTCCAGTATTTGTGATATCAATTTTGCTTTCTATATTTTGAGACCTTTTATTGGATTAAAAAAAAATTTTTTTTTAGGGCCTCCCCGGTGGCGCAGCGGTTGAGCGCTGGGTTGCGAAGCTGCCCGCAGCCTCTGCAACGCCGGTTCGATCCCCGGCTGCTCCCCGGCCACTGGAGGAGGGTCCCACATGGCGCGCAGACCTCTCCTGCCGCCCGCTGCTCCCCTCAGCAGGGTACTTCGGTCCTTCTGCCTGCTCTGCTCCCCGCTCTGGCTCTGGTGAATTCTCTCACCCTCCCGCGCTTCTGACTGCACCCAGCGCTTGTATAAATAAATAAATCTTTAAAATAGAATGAATAAATAAATAAATAAATTCTTTTTAAAAGATTTATTTATTTACACAAGAACCGGGGTACAAGCCAGATGCCCGGGAGGGTGAGAGAATTCACCAGAGACAGAGCGGGGAACATACAGGCAGACTAACGAAATACACTGCTGAGGGAAGCAGCGGGCAAGTCAGGAAAGGTCTGCTGCATGATGTGGGACCCTCGCTGGCCGGCCGGGATCGAAGCGGCGCTGCAGAGGCTGAGGACAGCTTCACAGAGCGGCGCTCAACCGCCTGGGCCACCAGGGGAGGCCCTAAAATTTTTTTTTTCCAGGTTCTTTTCGTGGGCCATGAGGTAGATGCTGTAGTTAGTATTTCCACGGCATTCTGCAGTTCGGGAAGGTTACATAACATGCTTAAGTTGACACAGCTAAGTGAAGAGTCAGATCTGGAACTTACATCCAGTTTTGTCTGATTATATAGCGTGTGCTCCTAGACGTTCAGTTCTATTGCCCCCCAAATGTTGGTGGTTTTTTCTGATCTTATTATAAGACACTTTCACTTCTCTATTTACAATATATCAAACAGTTCCTCCTGGATTTCCCACAGACATCTCAAACTCAACCTGCCCAAATATAATTGCGCCGTCTTCCCCTCGCTCTTGCCTTTCCCTCACCCCATTCTTCATCCTCTTCTCATAAACCCTGTCTCAGAGACTTGTGCCAACACACCACTAACCTTGATGCCTTCTATCTCATTCCACACAACCAGTTAATCATATTCTGGAGACTCTCACTCTTTCTGGGCACGATACCATTTGTATATATTTTTGTTTTTTAAAAACAGACAATTTTTCTAACGAGCACTTTTAGGGCCTCCCCGGTGGCGCAGCGGGTTGAGCGCCGCGCTGTGAGGCTGTCCACAGCCTCTGCAGTGCAAGTTCGATGCCGGCTGGCGGACGAGTTACCCATATGGCGCAGCAGACCTCTCCTGTCTCACCTGCTGCTCCCCTCAGCAGTGTATTTCAGTCAGTCTGCCTGTTCTGTTCCCCACTCTGTCTCTGGTGGATCCTCTCACCCCCCGCACCTCTGGCCTGTACCCCAGTTCTTGTATAAGTAAATAAATATTTTTTAAAAAAGAGCACTTTTAGATTCACAGCAAAATTGAGAGTAAGGTACAGAGACTTTCCAAAAACCTCCTACACCCATCCAGGCACAGCCTCCCAATTAGCAACATCACTTACCAGAGCGGTGCCTTTGTAATGATAGATGCTCCTACATTGACATGTCATTAAGTACCCAAAGTCTATGGTTTACCTTGGGGGTTCATTCTCAGTCGCGTACACTTTGTAGGCTTAAACAAACGTATAATGACATATATTCATCATTATATCATACAAAGTATTTTCTCTGACCTAAAAATCCTCTGTGCATTACCTATTGATCCATTCCACCCAACCCCTTAAGCCACTGACCTTATTATTATTCCCATAGTTCTATCCTTTTCCAAAATGTCAATAGATTCGCTTCTTTCACTTAGTAAGGCTCCTCCATGTCTTCATGACTTGATAGTTCATGGGTTTTTTTTTTTAGCACTGAGTAATTTTCTGTTGTATGAATGTACTACAGTCTATTCATTCACTTACTGAAGGACTTCTTTGTTTCCAGGTTTTGGCAATTATGAATCAAGCTACTCTATAAATACCTGTACACAGGTTTTTAAAATATATGTCTATTTATGTTTTATTCTTTTAATTGTGGTAGCATGTGTCTTCTGCAAATATTTTCCCACAATCTATGGCTCCTCATCTTATTCTCTTGAAAATGTCTTTTAAAGAGCAAAAGTTTTCCACTTTAATAAAGTTCTACTTACCAGCATTTTCTTTTTTTTTTTTCCAGTTTCCAAAAGCTTTATTGGTAAATATGCTTTAGAAAAGATAGATCCTATTGCTTCCAAGCAAAATGAACAGCTGTGTCCAGGGACACTCCAGCAATACCACCAGGGGCTTTGTCTACCTCTCATTCATAGATCCAGTCAAAAGCACAGGACTTGTAGCTCACCAATTCTTTGGGCTTAAACCATAGGCTGATTTCTTTCTCAGCACTTTTTACTGAATCACTGCCATGAATGATGTTCCTGCCAACCTGAATGCAGAAGTCCCCACGAATGGTGCCAGGCTTGGAGTCCGCCGGGTTGGTCTCCCCAAGCATCACTCAGCCGGTCTTTATAACATTCAGGCCCACCCAGACCATTGCCACAACCGGCCCGGAGTTCATGTACTTCACCAGCCCCGGGGAAAAAGGGTGGTCTTTCAGGTCTATGCAGTGCTGCTTCAGGAGTTCCTCAGAGGCCTGGAGGAACTTCATGGCCATGAGGCGGAATCCCTTCTGCTCGAAGCGTTTGATCATCTCGCCCACCAGGCCGCGCTGCAAGCTGTCCAGCTTGATGGCGATGAAGGTGCACTCGGCGGCGTTGGCCATGGTCCTGCAGGAGAGAGGCCCGGGACACTTACCAGCATTTTCTTTATTAGAGCATTCTTTAAAAAAAAAAAATGCTGTATCTGAAAAGTCATTGCCATATCCAAGGTCATGTAAACTTTTTCCTGTACTTCCTTCTATGATTTTTATAAATTTTGCATTTTACATTTAGGTCTATAATACATTTTAAGTGAATTTTTATGAAGGGTATAAGGTCTGTCTAGACTCATTCTTTCTTGCATAGATTTTTCCATCACATTTGGTGAAAACACTATCTTTGTTCCATTGTATTGCCTTTGGTCCTTTATCAAAGGTAACTTGACTGTATTATGTGAGCCTTTTTCTAGATTCTCTATTGTGTTCCATTGATATTTGTGTAAATACCACATTGTCCTGGTAACTGTAGCTTCACACAATTCTCTAGTCAGACAGTGCCAGTTCTCCAAATTCATGTTTGGGACTTTCAGTCACTTCTTTCCTGGAACACTGTGAAAAGTTACTTGGTGGTTTCCCTCATCATATGTTGCTCTTGTCTAATGGATTAATTTTTTCAAAACCTGAAATCTGATAAAATTACTGCTATTCAGTACCTTGTTTCTTCCTTCAATGATACTAGGATAGGTAGTTTTGGAGAATTAAAAAAAGATTTTATTGTAGTGACATTGGTTTACAACACAGTATGTTTCAGGAGTACAATTTTACACCCCAACAAACATATTACCACACTCACCACCAAGGTCTAGATACTGTCCAGAATCATCCAATCAACCTCCTTACCTGTTTCACCCACCACACGCTCTTCTCTGCTAAACACCATTCTGTTGTTGGAATCCAAGGAGTTTGTTTTGTTCATTTGCTTTGTTTTCTTATATTCCATAGATGAGTGAAATCAACCAGTATTTGTCTTTCTTTTCTGACTTATTTCACTTTCCACAATCTTCTCAAGTTTCGTCAACTTTTTCACAAATGGAAACATTTCACCCTTTTTAAAATAATTGAGTAGTATTCCATCGAGTATATATACCACATCTTCTCTATTCCTCTGTCCATTGGATTGTTTCCATATCTTGGCTATTTTGAATAGTGCTACAGTGCATTTCGGAGTGTAGATCTTTGTTCCAATTACTGTTTTCATATTCTTCAGATAAATACCTAGAAGTGGAATTGCTGATTCATGTGGTAGCTCTATTTTTAATTTTTAGGAAACTCCATAGTGTTTTCCATAGTAGCCGCCCCCATTTACATTCCCATCTGTAGTATATGAGGGCTCCTTTTTTTCCACATCCTTGCCAGAACTTACTTTTTAAATAAAAGCCATTTTTAACAAATGTGAGGTGAAATCTCATTGTGGGTTTGATTGCATTTCCCTAATGATAACTTATGAATGTCTTTTCATATGTCTGTCGGTCATCTGTATGTCTTGTTTGGTGACACGCCTATTTAGTAACTCTGCCCATTTATTAATTGTGTTGTATTTTGTTGTTGTTGAGTTGTATGAATTGTTTATATATTTTGGATATTAACCCTTTGTTGGATGTATGATGTGAAAATATTTTATCCCATTTAGTGGACTGCGTTTTCATTTTAATGAGTTTCTTTCTTTATGCAGAAGCTGTTTGGTTTGAGGGCCTCCCTGGTGGCACAGGCTGTTGAGCACAGTACTGTGAAGCTGTCCACAGCCTCTGCAGTGACGGTTTGATCCCCACCAACCTTGGAGCCACCCACATGGCAAGGCAGACCTCTTCTGTCTTGCCCGCTACTCCCCTCAGCAGTGTATTTCGGTCATTCTGCTGTTCTATTCCCAACTCTATCTCTGGTAAATCCTCTCACCCTCCCACACGTCTGGCCTGTACCCCGGTTCTTGTATAAATAAATAAAATCTTTTTTAAAAAAGAAGCTGTTTAGTTTGATATAGTCCCATCTGTTTATATTTTCTTTTGTTTCCCTCTTGTGAGTGACAAATCCACAAAGATATCACTAAGGCCAATGTAGAAGAACTTATTATCTGCATTTTATTCTATGTATTTTATTTTATGTAAGGATACTAATTATTTGCCATAGTATATAACAAATCTACGTCTTTATAGTTCTAACCCCATTTATGTTGTTATTGCCAAAAGTATTATCTTTATACTTAACCTGACAGGAGAGATACCAAGATCATGAGGGTAGTTTTCCTTGACTGAGTCTTATCCATTATACTCCAGATATGCTCAACTCTTTGATTTCCTCAAATGTGGGAAATGTGACTGCATAATTTGTGATAGTGGAGGACTGTGTCTGTGCTCTCCCCTGGAAAAAATAATATCTTCATAATTAACATGTATATTAATATAACTATAATGATTGTTTTATTGCTTATCTTTTGTTTATTTATTTTTTAGATCAGTGTTCTATTTTTTTTAAAGATTTATTTATTTATTTATCTATTTATCTATTTATTTATTTATTTATACAAGCACTGGGTACAGTCGGAAGCGCGGGACGGTGAAAGAATTCATCAGAGCCAGAGCGGGGAACAGAACAGGCAGACTGAATGAAATACACTGCTGAGGGGAGCAGCAGGCGTGGCAGGAGAGGTCTGCGCGCCATGTGGGACCCTCGCCCTGCGGCCGGGGATTGAACCAGCGCTGCAGAACCTGCGGGCAGCTTCGCAGCCCAGCGCTCAACCGCTGCGCCACCGGGGAGGCCCTATTGCTTATCTTTTAAATCATATAGTGAAAAGAGAAATTATAAAGCAATATGCAAAACTGCTTGCTTTTGTATTTACCTATGAAGCAAAATTTATCACTGCGGTTCATTTCTTCTTATGATTGAATGCTCATTTCTTTTTATGGCCGAGTTACTTGTGTCTCTGTATTTCAGCTTGGAAGTCCTATAAGGCATTCCAGAGGTTAAAAAAAAAACAAAAAACATGCAAATGACTCTATGTAGTATTAATGTAGCTTATTTTATTCAAATCATTTCTATGTAATTAACATTCAAATTATTTGTTTTGCCTGCTAAACATAATCCTGCTTGCAAAAGACATGCTTGTCCACATATTCAAATTACTCAGTGCTTTTGTTTCCATAAAATAGATTTCTAAAATAAAATTGCTTGATCAAAAAATATGTGTTCTCTTACATTTCCCAGAATCTCTTGCACATATGTCGAGGTCATCAACTGTAATATGAGACTTCTAAGCCTTAGAAACAACCCTGGGTGATCTCTCCACTCTCCTTTCATTAGCGTTGGAAACCATGTGTGCCATCTGGAACACATGACTGTGAGGTGAATGCAGGTTAGAGACAAGAATAATCAGTGGAGCAGAGCCATGTAGAAGAGTCAATAACTCTTATTGAGCTATAACGTGAAGGAACAGCAAACTGTTTTAAAGTCACTGAGATTTTTAAAGCCACTGAGGTAGCCTACTTTTTAATACAACTTTTTAAAAATTAAGTACCATTGTTCTACAACTTTGTTCATTTTTTGACAGTATAGGATTTCTCCCCTCAGGTGTGGTCACCATAGCTTTCCCACCACCAAAACACCCATAGCCCTTAACCATTACGCCCCCCCCACCTCACTCGGTGTGGGGAGGTCCTCACTCTTCCCCTTATCCCTCCCACTCCTCCTCCCTTCCTGGATGTCTCCGGAAACAGCCTGTTTCATTTTAGGGAAATAACATACCTCCAATTTCAACCCCCTCCCTACAATTAAATGCATCAGTTTGATGGATATCCATCTTGAAATTTATATATATAATATATATATTCATTTTACAGCTTCACTAAATAGAATATTGCATCTATAATTGTATTTTTTTGACTTAATACCCTAGAGATGTCTCAATATAAGAATCCCATTCATTTAACTAACATATAGTCTTTTTTTTTTCTTTTATAGATAGACCATAGTTTATTTGACTTACAGATGCTGCCACAATAAGCATCCATCTATGCTTTCCTGTGCACATGTGTACACATATCTGTCTGGTAATATGAAGCAGAGGAAGTTCTAGGTCATCTAACATGTACAGGTTTTTACTGGTTTATCTTTTCTTGTCCCTTTGTAAATAATATTGGGATATTAAATTTGTTTTAACTACCTGTAATGGTATTGGAAATATTTTCTCCTGGGCTATTTCCTGTCCTTGAGTCATATATGTGTGTGTGTGTGTGTGTGTGTGTGTGTGTATATATATATATATATATTTATATATAAAGATTTATTTATTTATGAATACAAGAACTGGGGTACAAGCCGGAAGTGGGGGGGTGGTGAGAGGCTTCACCAGAGACAGAGTGGGGAACAGAACAGGCAGATGTACTGAAGTACACTGCTGAAGGGAGCAGCGGGAGAGTCAGGAGAGGTCTGCTGCGCCATGTGGGTCATCTCCCTGGCCGGGGATCCTAGTGCTGAGATTTAATCCCTTGTACCACAAGGGAGGGCCCTGAATCTTCTATATTTTTTCCTATATAAGTTTTGGATTTACTTTCTTGCTTGAGAAGAGTACATTATAAGAGTAAACAATTTTTTACTTAATTTTCATTGCAATATTTTATTCTTGAATTTTACAATTTTGTCTTTTTTGTTTTGCTTTTTGTTTTAATATTTACATATATATTTTACATCATTGTTCATTTTTGTATAATGTTTAATTTCTTCTCTCAGGTGTAGTCCTCGTAAAATTCCCACCACCAAATCACTGGTGAACCATCACCATAGTTCCTTGTGCTCTTCCTGCTCCCTATTTTAAATCCTCTCCCTCCCCATGCCATGCAGAATGTCTCTGAGTTATAGTTGCCTGTTAGTTTTGTCTTTTTATTGTTATTTTCCTTATTCCTTATTTGCTTCCTCTATATCCCTCCTATAAGTGAAACCATCCGACATTTTTCTTTTTCCTTCTGGCTTATTTCACTGAGCATACTCCACTTGAGATATATTTTTGTGTGTAGTGAGTAGGAATCTATGCTCATTTTATTCTGATTGAATAGTCTATGTTATTTTGCTCTCAGTTTAAAGAAATCTTTGCAAATATGTGAAATCCTTAAATAAAAATACTTGTAGCTAAACATTTGCTCACCACCATTATTATTTCCTTAGGATTAATTCCAAGTAGGAGAATTGTTGGATCATGGAGTAGGCAAAATACATCATTTTGGGTACTTATTGTGAATAGAAGAAAAGTTATAAATGTAGTAATTTACTTTCTTATTGAATATGAGAATGTTTACATCCTCAGTAAAAGTGATTACCATAAGTAAATATTTGTTTGCAAATATTTGTTTACCTATTAGACAGGAATATAGCAATTTGTTTTTGTCTCTTTGCCTCCTAATAATGAATAATGTTTATTCTCCACATAGATTTACTTGGTGGACACCCTGAATTTTCAGGCTATGATATAATTAAGGTCTTTAATTATGAAAAACAATTTAGGTTCTTTGATTATAAGAAGGCTTTTTTTGCAAATCTCAGTTGAAATGAGGGTCGATGGTGAGGATTTATGAGGCAGTAACAGACTGTTATTTCATAGGAACCAAAAAAATGGAGACTCCAGCATCAAGTGCACAGATTCTGACTCAGTGTATTTGTAAGAGTATTTGTGTATGTGGAGAAATCTGTGTCAGAATTGTGCAGCTTTTAATTAGCACCAAAGATGACTATAATGAAGGAACTGCTTTTTGAGAGAAATGTATATAATGTTACAATAACTTTATAGATTGACTTTCTTGTTGGAGTCCTTTTTGAAATGTAAGTTATAGCTATTTAGGGAAGTAGGACTATAAATTTTATGCAATCAGAAGTGAACCTGGGCCAAGAACTCTAGAATTCTAATTAACATTTATTTAATACCCACTATGTGTAAGTCACAGCATTAATTAATAGGAGTATAATGAAATATATGACGTAGACTTTACTCTGAGATGTAAAATGCAAAGAGTCCAGTTAGAAATAATGCCTAAGTGTATATATAAATATGTACACAAGCATATACATATCCATGGTGAGACTAAAATATACATACAGACGTATATGTACAGTATATATGTACTACATATGTGCACTTAACACTAAAATGTACATATACATTTATTTGTGTATAAATTATAAACATATACATATGCATGAGTCACAAAAAGCATTTTTTACATATACTTCAGTAGGAAAGGAAAGGAGGGATGGAGAGAATGGAATTATTCTCTTAGATCTGTTTCCTGTATCACTGTGAATTTACGTACATCCCAAGAGTCTTCTGAACTAGAAGGGTGGGGCTGCTAGGAGCCTTCAGAACAGGGAAACTTACAGGACAAAATCTTAGTTCTTATGTAACAGGGTGGTCCCCAGGAAAGGGGGAGGTTCCAGGTTCCCCGCCCCACCTAAAAAGGAGCGTGGAGCTGAGCAGGGAGAGAAGAAGCTTCAGAGGAGACTGAGGAAAGAAGGAAGCAGGATGGAGCCAGAAGGAGACTTGGAGGAGGCACATGGAGCCTTGTCTTTTGGTCGTGGACAGGGTGACACAGATGTGGGTGAGACCCGTGGGGAGGTGACAATGGCGGTTTTTGTCTTGATTTTGATTTTGCTCTTTTCCTTCCTGACTTTTCTGGTTGTTTCTGATCCTTTTCTGTAGCTCCCCAGTGGAAGATTCTTTAGACTTGTGACAGGCTTTGGGGTCTTGTCCTGGGCCAATCCTGCTTGGGTGGACTTTTACCCGTGAGGGGACGGGTAACTTTGGGTGCTTGATTTAGAAACTATATTCTTTGCCTTTCCTGTATTGTTTCCTAATTGTATTAAAGTTCCTTCCCATTAAAGTCTCATATGTTTTGTGTTGATGTGGCGGATGGCAGAACCCATTTAGAGTAGGCAGGTTTGCGGGGGCTGGGGTGCCCCTCTCTTGCCATGTAACACTTAGACCTAGAGCAGCCACTCTGACAACGGCAGGTTTTGCTTTCAAACTGGTACCTGGATCCAGTTCCCAAAAGGGACTCATCAAGTCTGACTTATTTTGCCAGGAGGGGCCCAGTGATTGAAAATGGGAGGGGCTGCTTTGCTAAGAGCTCTGCAGGACCTTGTTGCCCAGCAACCCTGGAGCAGTGAGTGTCACAATAATGCAGAGGCTTTAGAAGACAGAGGGGGGCGGCTTCCAACCCGCTGGGGACTCCAGGAAACTCTGTGGGACTTTGGCCCTCTAGGACTCCAGGGCACCAGCAACAGTGGGGCCAGCACAGCAAAGGACCCAGCCCACGAGGCAGCAGCACCCAGTAGGCAGGGCAGGACCCAGGGGAAGAGCCTGGGGCGGGGTTCAACACCGCAGCCCAGGCCTGGAAGCCCCCCTCCCTGCCTAGCGGGCTTGCTCCTGAGCGCTGGCTGAGTCAGGCCAGGGCCCTCCCTCAAATCACTGATGCCCTATGTGGCTGGGGTTGTGGGTGCAGGGGGTGGAGAGGAAGAGCCCACCAAAGGCAGCTCAGTCACTGCCCTTCTTCCCCACCGCAGCCCAGTGAGCAAACGTTATCACCTTGAAAAGATGGAGTCTTAAGCAAGTGTCTCTGTAATAATTGCCAGTTTTATTCCTCCAGCTAAGAGGTCCAGAGGTAACTTGAGGTTTACATTTCTTTTCAATATTTCTGTTATTAAGAATGTGTTTCACTGACCTTCAAATGTGATTGACAAGTTCCTTTACTATGTTTGTTTCAATTATTTTGGTGACACAAGTAACACACACACATACATGCACATATATTCATTTTGCTGGAAAATGAGAAGATGCAGATAACCAAAATAGTGAAATACAGATCATGCACAGATTCACTGTCAACCTTTGGGTGTATAAATGCAGACATTTTCTTTTGCATTAATTCACATATAATGTACATATAAAGTGTATATATACACAAATATATATAGTTTCACAACTTGTCATTTTCACTTAAAATATACACTGCGCATCTTCCATGCAAATGAATGAAATCTCGTTCGTTATTTGATAAATGGGAGAGATTGGGTCAGAAGATGAGATGTTGATAACAAGAGTCAAATTTAAATCAAAGGAACATTGAAGGTTTGGAGTGAAATGATAGCAACTATTTGGCAGGTAAATGCAGACAAGAAGAAATAAATGGTGGAAATATTAATAACAGAAATAGTTGAATTTGGAAGAGAAGGGCATTAAAGGGGATACGGGCGGTCCCGAGAATGCCTGTGGTTAGAATGCAGGGCTCTAAATTTCTTTCTCAGACCCCTTATCTCTTCCAAACACCTTTCCATCTCATCTCCCTCTCTTGTCATCTCTTCATCCCTAAAATGCCTACAGTCTATGTCCTCTTTAAATTCCTCGAGAGACTGAAGCAGCCTTTGCCTAAAATTCCCTTCCGTCTGTTGGCGCTCAAATTCTCCATAGGGACGTTCTTCCTCTCGCTTTGGCACGCTGCTTTTGGGCTTCCCTTCATTTTCTTTGCAGGGTTTCTGCATGATGTTTCCTGCGTATGTCCAGAGAGAAAAGGTATGGTCAGACTGCATGGTTTCCTGGGATTCAGGATTGTCAGCTTTTCTTTGAAACAAGATACTCCCCTAAACCCCCACCCCTGCCTGGCAGGCCCAGCCCTCAAGTTCAACATGCCTTCCTTTCCTTCCCTTGGTCCTCTCCACCTCCTTTCCCCCCCTTCTTCTGCAACCCCCCATTTCTCCAGCAGACTAGACTAATGGCCTCTCTGATGGGCCAGAGAAGGGGCGCAGTCTGAATTGCTCAGTGATGTTGCAAATTTCACCCAACTCACACCGTCAGAGATGGGGGTTTAAGTGCATCTCTCCCACTGACCTGTGATAATTCCAGACAGTTTCCTCTTTTTCTTGCCTCAGAAGTCTGTCAACACAGACCCTAGGACCTGCAGAGAGAACAGAAGGGAGCGGGGAGGAAGGGATTATCTGTGGGTCCACTAGCCCCAGGACAAGATTCACGTTATTATCTGGAATCCAGGATCCATATAATGTTGTTGCTCCAAATCTCTTACCTCCTGGTTCTTCTCAGCTCCCTATTCCTTCCTCTAGGATTTCTGTTTCTGTTGCCCCACCACAACCCCCACCTCTCTCTCACCCTCAGGCCTACTCCTTGCAAGGTCCACTGTCCCCTCCCTCCCACCGCCTCACATCCCTGGCAGGCAGTTTGAATGAGAACATATATTTTCAAATTATCTGTAAAATTCTCTGTTTTTATCCCAGGATTCCAGCCATTCTCCATACACCAGCCCACACCTCATTTTCCCCAACAGAATTGGAGAAAGAAAAGAAGAAGGATGGAGGGAAAGCGTGCCAATCTGAGAGAAACAGATTATTTCCAAACTATCACGAAATTTCTGAGAGTCTCTGGTTGCCCCTGACAAGATTTTCGCCTGGTCCAGCTCCACCCCCCTTCAAAAATGATTGTTCTCTCTCCTATGAGTTTGCAGGCCTTTGGGGCAAACAAGTCTGGACCTACTCCAGTCACTAGATTCAGCCACTACCCTCCCAGGAGTCCCAAGGGTTCCCTTACCCCAACCCGCTGAGATTTAAGGAATTTACCTCCTCCTCTTCCGACACACGCACAAGTGCCTGCAGCACAGTACGGAGCTGGTACCCAGAGGAGAAAGCAGCCCGCGAATATAAGGTCTCCACAGCAGCGCCTGGTCACGTGAGGATTATGTCATCCTCCAACTCTGGTTCCCACTCTCCCCTCCCACCAGCTGTGCTGCAGAAGTGGAAAGTCTCAACAACCTCCCACCCCACTCCCCGCCACACCAGGTCCTGTCAGTCATTTTTGTCGCTGCTAACTCCAGAGGTCAAAAATGGCCCCCTCTCCCTGTGGTTGGAATTTGCCTTTCTCTGATTACCACAGAAGGGCTCTATCTTCCCAAAGTCATTTTTTTTCCCAAAAAATAACAATTGTTACTTTTTGGTGCTTGTATTGAGACAGAAAATTGATCCTTTAAGCTACAAGAAGGAAAAGGAAGCTGTATTCTCTCCACCCACCCTCTCCCCAGCCACTAAGGACCATCATTTCTCTTGCATTCAATTCTTGAAACCAAAATGGAAGGGTTGGGGTAAATTAAGAAATGAGGTAATGATTGGGATTGTGTTTCTAACTTCGGTTGTGATCACTTTCTATTTTCCATTTTCCATAAACTTGTGTATTCTTTTAATAATCAGAAATATGATAATGATATGTACTTTTAGAAAAAGATTCAAGATAGGAGGATAAAAAGACCTAGCCACCTGTTTCAGCTGCTTAGTCATAAGATAAATATAGACCCTCCAGGCAGACACATTTTTGGAGTTTAAAATGTACAGAGCAGCTGGAGGCTACCCTTTGAGGCCCTCTTAGGCATGTGAGGCACTTTCATTAGGTGAGCTCGTGGGACCATAATTCCAAAGTATTTTGCCCTTAGACTTTCAGATCTCAATAGTCAGTCATAAAATTGTACTAGTTCCATCTTAGTATCATGTCCTCTCCCCTGCATGTATGCTTTTATTTTCTTCAAAACTGTGTCCAAAGACCCCACTTTTCTCAACACTCTCATTATAATAGTTTTTCATTTCTCTCAAACACTCCCATCCTATTTATACTTCCTTAGACCTTATTCCACCATACTGGGGAATTACAAACTACTTGTAGCACCAAAAAAACTAGCCGTATTTTGTCATGTATCATACTCAAATACTTGGTATCAATCTAAGTGGGTTTCTTGTTGCTTTGTTAGCTTGTGATATAGACAACAGAAAAAGGGATGTGTTCTTTAAACTTATTTTTAGGAAGACTGTGGCTCATAAAGGCAGTGTTACCACTAGCAAGTTTGATGTAAATGATTCCAGAAAATACTTTGGAAAGAAAGAGTTCTTACACAGAGTTGAACATTGTTGTCACAGTTATAAAGGAATGGTTAATTGTGGTAGAGTCAAAAGATTTGTTAGTAGGAATTCTGAATCTTCTGAACAGCTTTTCATGCAAATGGTTAAACTTATGGTTTTCAAATGATTAGAAGGATCCAGGTCTTGAAGATTTTGGCATTGTAATAAGAAGCGTGGCTTGAAAAAAAAATCTAAGTTTGAACTAATTGCATTTATTTGCCTGTTGTATAACATTGGATCTAAAACCTAAATAACAAAACTTCCCTGTGCCACATTTATAAAACACTTCTAAGAAGCTTATGAAATGAGAATAAAAGAGCATGTTAAATCCATAGCAACCAGAAGGAAGGAGATAATAAGAATTAGAGCAGAAATTAATGAAACAGGGAAGAGAAAAACATAGAGAAATTCAACAGAACCAAGAAGTGCTTCTTGGAAAAGACCAACAATATTGACAGACTTTTAGGGAGACTAACTAGGAAGCAAAGAGAGGAGACTCTAATTACTAAAATTGGGACTGAAAGCAGTCACTGCTACTGCCTTTATAGAAATTTCAAGAAAGTATTGTAAGAAAATGCTATTAACAACTGTATGCAAATTAATTAAGTAAATTACATAAAATGATCAAATTCCTGGGAAGATACTAACTACCACAACTAACCCAAGAAGAAATAGAAAACCTGAATAGCTTGTTAATAGATAAAGATATTGAATTAATAATTTTATAACTTTCCCAATTAGAAAAGGCCAATCCCAAATGGCTCTACTGGTGAATATTAAAACACTTGGAAAGAAATAATACCAATTCTTCCCCGAAATAGAAATGGTGAGAGCACTTCTCAAGTCATTTTAAGTAGCCTATATAACCTTGGTACCAGAACAGACAAAGACTTCACAAACAAATCACAAATCAATACTTTTTATGATATAGATGGAAATACACTCAACAAAATACTAACAAGTAGAATTAAGCAACATACACAAAGAATTATATGCTATGACCAACTGGAGTCAATTTCAGGAAGTCAATAAATACACCATAATAGTATAATAAAAACCAACCTCTGTATCATAATTTCATTTTATTTTGTTCCAATGAATTGCACAAAATTTTGAAAAAATACAACAGCCTTCATAATAATAAGAACTTAAAAAGAAAAAACTAGCAACACCCTCAAACTGATGAATAATCTATTAGAAAATACCACAGCAAACATCATACTCAGTGGTAACAGACTCGATGCTTTCCTCCTATTATCTGGACCAAGATAAGGATGTCTGGGGCCTCCGTGGTGACCTAGGGATTAAGTCTCAGTGCTATCACGCTCTCTCAGCTGTGGCTTGAGTTCGTTCCTGGGCCAGGGAGCTGACCCACATATGGCACAGCAGACCTCTTCTGTCTCGCCTGCTACTCCCCTCAGCAGTATATTTCAGTCAATTCACCTGTTCTGCTCTCCACTCTGTCTCTGGTGAATCCTCTCACCCCCAACACCTTTGGCCTACACCCCAGTTTTTATACGCAATAAACAAACCTTTAAAAAAAAAAAAAAGGTAAGGATGTCTTCTCTTGCCATTTCTAGTCAACATGATACTGGAGGTTCTTGATGTAGTACTTAGATAAGAAAATTAAATCAAAAACATCTAGATTGAAATGGGAGAAGTTTTTGCAAATGACATGATCTTAAACTATCCACAAGAAAGCTACCAGAACTAGTAAACAAATTTAGCAAAGCTTCAGAGTATAAATTCAACATACAAAACCAGTTGTTTCTATACAACTAGGATAAACAATCTGAAAATCAAATTAAGGGAACAATTCTATTTATATTAACATCAAAAAGAATAAAATACCTAGGGATACATTTACAAAGCATTGTTGAAATAAAGACGTAAATAAAGGGAAAGACAAGCTGTGTTTATGGATTGAAAGACTTAAATTGTGAAAATGGCAATACTCCTCAAAGATAACTACAGATTCAGAAATTAGATTAGTGGTTGCCTAGCGTTGGTTGCTTGGGTGGGTTATAGGACATTTTTTTCTACGAAATTTCCTTTAGAGGTGATTAAAATGTTCTAACATTGAAGTCACACTACTCTATGAATATATTAAAAAAATTGACTTATGCACTTTAAATTGGTGAATTAAATGATGTGTGATTTGTATCTTAACAAACTTATTTAAAAAGATAAGTGAGAACATAACGATAGAAATTATTGAAACTGAATCATAGTGAAAAATAAATGGAGAGCCTTAGAGACCAGTGGATCAATATAAAGCAGTATAACTGGTAATATGACTTCTAGGGAAAGAAAAAAATGAGTGAAACAAAAATACATTTTTTAAAAAAATAGTGACTGAACTATTTCTAAAATTTATGAATATTATAAACTCTCAAATCTGAGAAGCACAATGAATCTCCAACAAGGTAAAGAAAAAGAATGCCATATCACCCCCCATGTGCATTGTGGCATTATTTACAACAGCCAAGACATGGAAACAGCCTAATTGTCCATTGATAGATGAATGGATAAAGTGCGATATATCATATATATACAAATATTATTCAGCTATGAAAAAGAAGGAAATTCTGCCACTTGTGACAATATGAATGGACTTTGAGGGCATTATTTTAAGTGAAACAAGTCAGAGAAAAACAAATACCATATAATCTAACTTATATCTGGGTTAAATTTTTCAAAAATATAAAAATGAACTCATAGATACAGAGAACACCTCTGGTAGTTACCAGAAGTGGGGATGGGGCAAAATAGGTGAAGGCGATCAAAGTACAAACTTGCAGTTATAAAATAATTAAGTCCTGAGGATGTAATGCCTGTCATAGTGACTACTGTGTTATATATTTGAAAGCTGCTAAGAGAGTAGATCTTATAATTTCTTATTACAAGAAAAGCAATTAAACTGTGTGGTGATGGATATGAACTAGATTTTTGTGGTGATCATTTAGCAATACATACATACAGATATTGAATCAATATGTTGTACACTTGAAATTACTGTAATGTTAGGTATTAACTATATCAATAAAAAAGAATGACATTTAAGAGAAAAATCTAAACAGTAGTCACAGAAAAGAGAGATGCTATATACAAACATATGGATTCAAGAATGACTGTACACAGCATCAGAATTTTTGACAGAAGATAATGAAATGATATCTTTAAAGGGCTGAAAGGAAAAATCATTAACTGAGAATTCTATATCCAGTGAAAATACCTTTCAAAAATCAAGACAAACAAAGGCTTTTCCCAACAAACGAAATGTATTCATCACCAGTAAGACTGGCACTATAAGAAATATTAAAGGAAGCTCTTTAGGTGGCAATAAAAAAGACACCTGATGGCAATGTGGAGCGACACAAGAGAGAAGAGCACAGAAAATGGCACATTTGTTAGTACATACATGAGGTTTTGGCTTTGAAGCAATTGCAAAGATAATGTACACAGGAAAATGTTAACATTGCATTGTGGAGTTTATAACACAGATACTAGGCAAAAAGACAGGGTAAGAAGTGGGAAATTGGGGAAAGTTCTTAAGTGAATTGGTATATTGTTATTTGATGATGAACTGTAAAGATAACGATGTGTATTGTAAATTCTAGAGGAAGCACTAAAAATTAAGCTGAAGGAAGGTTATAGCCAATAAACCACAAGTGTGGTCAGCCAGAGAGGAAATGAGGTCCTTCGTCCAAAAGCCCTCT